AATGACCACAAAAGTATTAGGTTGTTGCAAAAGTAATTACTTTTAATGCCAAAAACTGTAAATACTCTTACAGCAACCTAATACTATGAGGAGGCCGGGTGCGGTGGCTCACGCCTGTAATCCCAGCACTTTGGGAGGCTGAGGCAGGGGATCACTTGAGTTTAGGAGTTGGAGACAAGCCTGGCCTACATGGCCAAACCCTGTCTCTACTAAAAAATACAAAAATTAGCTGGGTCTGGTGGCCCACACCTGTAATTCCAGCTACTTGGGAGGCTGAGGTGAGAGAGTTGCTTGAACCTGGGAGGCAGAGGCTGCAGCGAGCTAAGAGCACACCATTTTACTCCAGCCTGGGAAACAGAATGAGACTCTGTATCAAAAAAAAAGGTCTGAGTGTTGATTTTGGGATTACAGATAAATGTCAGTGAGTAAGTACATTTGCCAGTGCTTTAGTGAGTAACGAGGATCAACTCTGTGTATAGCAGTAAGAATGAGGCTTCAGGCCAGGCACAGTGGCTCATGCCTATAATCCTAGCACTTTAGAAGGCCAAGGTGGGTGGGTCCCCTGAGGTCAGGAGTTCAAGACCAGCTGGCCAACATGGGGAAACCTCGGCTCTACTAAAAATATAAAAGTTAGCTGGGTGTGGTGGCACATGCCTGTAATGCCAGCTACTTGGGAGGCTGAGGCAGAATTGCTTGAACCTGGGAGGTGGTTGCAGTGACCCGAGATCATGTCATTGCACTCCAGCCTGGCCAACAAGAGCAAAAGTCATCTCAACAAACAAACAAAAAGAATGAGGCTTCAGAGTGGAGAGGAGGGAGCCATAGACAAAGGAAAATTTACAAAGGTGTCACAGGAAGCTAAACTTTGAGGGATAAGTCAATTACCCAGGTAGGAGGGGACTCCGGGTGCAGTGGGCACCATGCACAGAGGCATGAGACAACAGGGGATGAAGTGATGTCTTTAAGGCAATAATGAGAAAACCAGACGTGAACACGTCGAAGAGCCCTGACATCCAGGAACCTGGGAAAGGCAGCGCTTCCATACCCACCCCTTCTCACAGGGCTGGCGCGTGCTGGGTGGTGCCAACTGCTGTTACAGAGAACCCCCAACTCAGTGCTTTGACCCAATAAGCACATGATTTTTTGCACATATTAGAGTTCAACATGAATGATCAGTGAGTAGCTTTTCAGAAGTGATTTAGGGACCTAGACTCCTTCAAAACTGTATCTCCTCCACCCCCGAGGGCCTCAGAGTTTTGGCTGATGACCAGTAAAGGGGAAAGGGGAAAGGTGGACTGTTGCACAGGGGTGTCTACATGCTGCACCTAGAATTGGCCCACGTCCCTTCCATCTACACCCTATCATCACATGGCCCCACCTAGATGGGAGAGGGGATGGGGAAGGAAGTTCCGGCTGGACAGCTGCTTCCCAGCAGCATATTACTACATGTTCATGTACTCTGGAGGAGAAACGTGACTGTTGGTGGACAGCTAGCCCTTTCTGCCACAGGCCCTCGGATTAGTCCGTCATACCACAGGGCAGAACTGCAAAGAAGTGGTGGTGAGTGATTCTATGGAAATGGAGTGTCAAGGTGCCATCTAGAGAGTCGATAGCCAATGAATGCCTGGTGAGTGAATGAGAAATGCATTATGCCTCATTCCCAGCCAGCTGGCAGGGAAGGAACATTCTCGTTTTTCCTGCAGTCAGACACATTGCATTTGGGCTGCTACAACAGAATACCATGAACTGGTGGCTTATAAATGACAGAAATTTATTTCTCACAGCTCTCGAGGCTGGGAAATCCAAGATCAAGATGCCAGTAGAGTCAGTGTCTGCTGACTTCCTAGTTCACGGAGCCATCTTCTCACAGTGTCCTCACTTGGTGGAAAGGCCAAGGAGCTCTCTAAACCATTTCATAAGGGCAGTAATTGCATTCCTGAGGGCTCCCCTCTTATGACTTAATCACCCCAAAAGGGTCCCACCTCCTAACCACCACCTTGGGAGATTCAACGTCGAATTTTGGGGAGGACATACGTTAAATTCATAGCACCTGAAGAGGAAACATGGCCACAGGAATAGAAAGAGGGATGCCTAGAGTGACGAGGTCTAGATAACTGCAAGTCTGGGCTGTACCTATGAATATTCTGTCCGTTTATTTCAACTTCATTTGGGATTTGGGCTACACAGAGCTTCTGCAGGACTTGGAAAACCCAGTGCATGACTGAGTGGTTAGAAATGGAGGCCGGGTGCGGTGGCTCACACCTGTAATCTCAGCACTTTGGGAGGCTGATGTGGGCAGATCACGAGGTTAGGAGATTGAGACCATCCTGGCCAACACAGTGAAACCCCATCTCTACTAAAAATACAAAAAATTAGCTGGGCATGGTGACACGCACCTGTAGTCCCAGCTACTCAGGAGGCTGAGGCAGGAGAATCTCTTGAACCCAGGAGGCAGAGGCTGCAATGAGCTGAGATCACATCACAGCACTCTAGCCTGGGTGACAAGAGCAAGACTATCTCAAAAGAAAAGGAAAAAAAAAGAAGAAATGGTTTGAAATAGCCTGGAAAGACTCCAGGGAGGAGAGAACAGGAGGAGTGCACATGCACGTGCCTGCACACACACCCACACCCACGCACACACACGCGCGTGCGCACTCACGCACACACACGCACTCCACACACACATGCACACACACGCACTGCACACACACACGCGCGCGCATGCGCGCGCGCACACACACACACACACACACACACACACACAGCCAGGACTCTTCTTTAGTTTCCATGAGGATTTCAATCCAGCCTTGCCGGTAATCGCCTCGTAACTCCACATTTCCGATGTATTAATCAAATGCCATCTATGAGGCAATGTTGCAGGCCCCACTGGTGCTTTTGCATTTGATGGTTGCTGAATATCTAACTATGCTTCAGCAACTTCCATCCATGCCAAATGAGAAAAAAACAACCACCACCTTTTCTCCCCAGAGCAAATTCACACTCAGCAAGGATAATCACAAACCCTCCACAGGTGAACACATCAGAATAAATGAGCAGTCAACACACCCACCAAGGCATGTGAGTTACGGTGTCAAAGCAGCTGTCAGGGACAGTCCTGGGGTAGGGGATGCCTCCGTCTCCTGATCACAGGCACTACTTGAAAAATGCAGGAGAGGGGCTTGGGGGGGAAATTGCTGTAACGTGGATCATCTGTGTGCCTGTTCCCTGGTGTCCCAGGGTCAGGAGTCCTGAAGCTCATCTGGCCTTGGCAGCTGCTGCGACGGAATCTTTCCTGTGGCTCAAAACATTGGCCTCTATGACCTCATTTACATTTATGGTGTGTGCCTTAGACGGGGAGAGATGAACACCAAAGCATGACTGTAGAAAAGGGAGGAATGGTTTTTACTCAAACACAGAATGGTCGGTAGCAGACCCAAGGTTGTACTACTCGGAGATAAAAGTCTTTAACTCTGGCCCTAATGGCGTCCCTGCTCCGCACCTGCCTGCCAGACTTCCACCTCCTCCTCGCCTGATCCAGCACACAGAGGCTTGGCTGGGACACGTGCAGAGGGAAGAGCCAGGCTCAGCCAGCTCCTAGCCCCTGTAGAATGGTGCTTTAGAAATCTGTGCTGCACAGATGAGCATGTGACTTGGTCCCTGGCCCATCTCCTCATTGCCTCCAGCAACTTTCCTAAAGGGAAGGTGAAGTCTTGTCATCCCCTGCTCCCTCCCCTACAGTGTGGAAATGCCTCGAATTTCTGCCCTCGGACCTCCAAGCCATGCCCCTTGGGAAAGTGCCAGGAGAGTGTTGGGGGTATTCAGAGGTGGGGACTCCCAGTTACCTGCTTTGGGTGACTCTGGCCTTAGCTGGCCCTGAGGTGGAGGCCGCCTGGGAACTGTGGGTCAGAGGAGGTCAGCTTTAGCTCCCTCAAATGTGGGGATCTTCCACCCCCAAGTGACCCTCTCAATCTTTGGGACTGTCGTGCCGTGAACTGATCAAGAGAAGTATATGATTCAGCTTCTGACCAAGATCCCTGCCTGCATGATGAATGGGGAGGGAAGGTGGACGGAACCAGCCATGAATGACAGCTCACCCTGGGTCGAGATCATGCAGGCAGGCAGGTGGGCAAAAAATGAGTCTGTTTCATCAGGCATTGTTTAATTTATTCTTAGCTTACTTTCTGCTTTATTTCCAACACAAGCAAAACCAGATGTGTGCAAAAGTCACTCCATACCCAGCTCTATTATGATGCAGCTTCATGCCCATTAAGGTATTCCCATGCCCCTCACAGGGCAGCGTGCATCTGTTGTGGTGCCATCTAATGTCTGTTAGGTGCAAGCTGGCCCACACGTGGCTCCTAGCCAGAACAGTCTACAAGCGACAGCGTAGCCAGAGAGCAGAGACAGGAAGGAGGCCCAGACCTGAGTGTGGGAAGCACAGAACCACAGCAGGATGCTTCTGCTGGCCCCAAATACCTCCACATCAATGCTTTGTGCTCCCTGTTTTCTCTTTTCCTGGATAGCCCCTCCTTCCGAAAGTCACAACTGTCTGCTCTTGAGCTTGCATTGAGGGAAGGAAATAATTTAGATAAGCAGAGGGGAAGATAAGCGAGGGATCTGGTGGGGCTGAGGCGGAATCCCCCCTCTCCTCTAGGAGGGAGTTGATGGAAAGGGGATCACCATCCAGGAGCCCCCTGCCCCCCAGACAGGAAACATGTGCCAGTAGCAGGCACACCTAGGGCTCTGCAGAGGGTTGGGGAGCATGTTGCCCGGTTTACGCTGCACTGAGCACTGGCTGGAGGAGGAAGGGGCCCAGAATGCCATCTGGACACAAGTGCTCCCTTAGCACCGGGGCCTGGTCGTCTCAGGCTTTTGTGTCGGCTCAGCCACTCCCTCTACAGATAATGCTGCTCAAGGCAAAGAGGCTTAGGTGGGTCTCCAGGGCAACCGCAGCTCAGGAGCTGGCCCGCCTCCGTGGTTCATCAGGGAAGCTGTGGCTCCAGCCTCCTGGGACACACACACACACATACGCGCGCGCGCACACACACACACACACACACACGCACACCCCACAAACAACAGCCCAGGCTGGATCTTTCCTCCAGTCTCTTCTCTTGGTAAAACTTCTCGGAGACCCAAAGAGAGGACCCAAAATCCTGAGGCCAGCTGGCAGCAGCAGAGAAGCCGAGGGAGACTAGAGGATGTAGTCTGCCCTGCCCTGCTGCGGCTGCTGAACTTTCTTCTTTTTCCTGAAAACATCCAGTCTCTCTCTTCTCCCAGACTGGGAAGCAGAACACAGGCCCCCTGCTGCGACACTGCCCCTGAGCCGAGGCTGACCTCAGAGGTAAGAGGGAGGTCTCCCCAGAAGACACTGTCTTTCCCACCCGCACCCTGGCACAGCTGCACCTTTGGAAGTTAGGGCCGAGGCCTGGAGCTGGGTGGGGTGGCCTCAGAGGGTGGCAGACTGGAGAGCATAGAAAGCCATCCACCACCAGGGCCCAGATGGCCACAGGGAGGCCCCTTCAGCCCTCACCAGTTCCACAGGAATTGGCAGCCCCTGCAGCATCCTCGGGGCTATAGCCTGCTCCTTGCTGTGTAAGCCTGTGGGAGGCCTTTGCCTCTGTCTCTTCTGGAACTACAAGTCCCTCGGGGAGGACTCAGTTCCAGCAGGTTCCCTTCTGCCTTTATAGAGCGGACACAGGCGGGGGAAGGAAAGCGAAACCCAGATCAGAGACTCTTGCATCGGTTTGTGAACTGTGATTCAAGCACCTCCTAAGTCCAAGGCACAGAGTCAGGCTCTGGGGATGCAGCAGCGCCCAGCGCCTGAGGGTGATGGATGCGCCTCAGTCCCCTCGACCACAGAACAGTCTGTGCGTCCCCGGTAACATGCCCAGGAGAGCCGGGCCGGGCAGATGGGTTCAGGGTGTGGAGCCAGCGAGAAGATCAGGCTTGGAAGGAAAGTCTGGCTGCAGCCAAGGCATGAGGGTCGGTCCCTTCCCACTGTGATCATTCAGACCTGTGTTCACGCCCTCTCCAGGCTGCACCTCTGCCTCAGAATGGGGAGGACTGACTGACATTCACTCATTCACTCAGGAACCGCTTATCTAGGGCCACTGTGTGCAGAAGATTCAACCAGCACAGCTCCCGCCCTTGCAGAGTTCATAGCTGGGTGCGGGAGAGAGAAACACAACCACAAATGTGAGAAATGTGTTTGCTGGATGCTGTGGTGCTGGGCCCCTGTGCCAGGCCCTGGTGGTCGGGATCAGTGCTCCATGGGTGGGGGCGGTGAGGGGCCGGCTGCAGAGAGGAGTTGTTTCTTGAGGGGTTCCTGACAAGTGAGCAGATGTCTGTCAGGTGGGCAGAGGATCCACAGGTCAGGCCCCCTCACACCTGGCTTGGTGGATTACAGGTTATTTTTCTATGATGCCAAAGAGAAATAAGATCAATTTGCAATATGTAAAGTTGGACTTGGGCCTTATCAAACATGGGGCTGGGAGGAAGATTAGCCAGAGAAGCGCCTACTCTCTGCCCCTACTGAGAAGTCTCTGCCCAGCCTGAGGTTCTGGGGTCAGCAGAGTCAGCCTGCTGGTGCAGTGAAGCAGCCAGTGCTTTGGGACAGCCTGGCTCAGGTGATGCTCTGTCCTGGGGCCTGGCAGGTCACACAGGGCGGCCCCTCTCCCTGGCCTGCAGATACCCAGCTCAGCTTGAGAGGTGGAGGACCCAGGTGGGATCCCCTGGCCATGGCTCCCTTTGCACTGAGAAATCAGCCTTCCTGGACAAGGTCTGCACGCCCTCACTGGTTGGCTGGAGCCAGCGCGGGGCCTCGGTTCTCACTAGAGGTGAGAGCACTCTCATCCCTGCCACAGGAGATCAGAGCCCTGTTTCTAGCTCCAAGGGCACACCCCACATGGATCCACCATTGAGACATCCCTGATCCCCCTCTGAGTGCCAACTGCATGGAACCAGAGAGAGACTCCTCTTGCCCTTCGGGCACCACGGAGGGTTCTTCTAGCACAGCTAACGAGCCACAGCTGGCAGTGGCGCCTCCCAGGGAGCGCAGGAAACACTTTATCCTCAGGGGTGTGCAAAATAGGCTGAAAGGAAGGCCCGAGATTGTGCGCAGGGGAGGGGGCAAGGAGGAGGAAAGGAGAGAGGAAAGAGAACATCAGAGAAAGGAAGGTCCGAGACTGTGTGTGCAGGGGAGGGGGCAAGGAGGAGGAAAGGAAAGAGGAAAGAGAACATCAGAGAATGGAAGATAATGGCCGTGGGTGCGTGATGCCAAGGACAGAGACAGAACACACGAGGGCTTCCCTATCATCCGCTCTGCTCTGTAAACCCGAGGCCGCACCACCTGGGCCTCTTGAAACAGGGAGGCTCAGCTCTCCCAGCGCGGTGACCAGAAGCCAGGGCTGGGAAAGGCCAGGAACCAAACTGGGGTCAAGATTACACCAAGCCAGGTGGTCCTTTACTTTGCGTGCCCTGGGCCCCTTTGGGAGTCTGTGAAGCCTGTGAACAATTCTCAGAAAAATGCTTCTAAATGCATAACAGCAAGTTGATTGGGTTACATAGGAAACAAGCTCTGTTGAAATGCAGCTCTCCAAAAAAAAAAAAAAAACTCAACAATTTGTGATACAGTAATACGTGTGCGTCCCTATCAACATGTGAAGTAATAAGCCTAGTAGCAAGTCTAATAAATGTCACGATTTCACAGTAGTGATGAGCATACCTGATCATTCAAGAATAACGACTTTAAAGTGTTGTGAAAAATCTCTGACTTCTGCAGGAGATAAAGCCACTGGGCTACTGATGCTGTGATCCATAGCCCTCATTCCCAACTGCAGGAAAGACCAACTTCTGCAGGAGATAAAGCCACTGGGCTACTGATGCTGTGATCATAGCCCTCATTCCCAACTGAAGGAAAGACCACATTTCGGTTAAAGGTTAGTGGAAATAAAATGACTTTTTTCCCCATCCAAGCTCATAAGTCTCTTAATCTTCCCTAGGACCCCAGGGTAAGAATCTGCACTAAGCCACAATGGTAGCCACTGATCCAGGTGAACCAGCTTCTTGTTAGCTTATAAAAATAAAACAGTTACACAGACGTGACATCACTGGATTTTCACAGTAACTTGAAGTAACTGAGAAATGTCTGCCCAGACTGAGAGTCTTTATTATTCCCTTATAGACTGGGGAAGCTGGGGCTTGGGCCAATGAATGTGACTTGGACACAGGCAGCATACACGCTAAGGGAAGGGAAGGGTGTAGGGACTGAATTCCGGTTTTCTGTGCTGAAGGCTGCGCCATCTCCCGAAGCCCAGCCTGCTCCACCTGAGCTGGTGATGAAGTGAAGGCGGAGTGGGGGCGCAGCCAGGCCTCCAGCATGCATCTGAGGTCAAAAGCAGTGGAGGCGGTGAGTGGGGGTGAGAGTGGGGAGGGCCCTCCAGCATGCATCTGAGGTCTACAGCAGTGGAGGCGGTGAGTGGGGGTGAGAGTGGGGAGGGCCCCCCAGCATGCATCTGAGGTCAAAAGCAATGGAGGCGGTGAGTGGGGGTGAGAGTGGGGAGGGCCCTCCAGCATGCATCTGAGGTCAAAAGCAGTGGAGGCGGTGAGTGGGGGTGAGAGTGGGGAGGGCGCTGGACCCCAGGCCCCAGACTCTGTGGAGGGAATATGGGGAGAGGGAACGGAAGGCATCTGTTGAGGGACAGCAGCAACCGTGTCCCCACCCAGGCTCCCAGAGGGAGGAGGGCAACAGCCCAAAGATTCTCACTGCGGACCCCGAGGTGGATGGAGGTCTTAGCAAGCAGGGCCCAGTCCATGCTCCAGCTGGCTTTCATTCCTTTTCTTCTCGCTTTGTGTCATCATTGGATTTGGTCATCTGTCTCCTCTCCACAGGGTCTTCACCTCTTTCCAGGTGGGCTTTTTGTTTTTGCTTCTGTTCTTGAGACAGTCTTGCTATGTTGCCCAGGCTAGAGTGCAGTGGCGCTGCCTTGGGTCACTGCAGCCTCCACCTCCCGAGTTCAAGCAGTTCTCATTCCTCAGCCTCCCAGGTAGCTGGGATTACAGGCGCCCGCCACCACACCTGGCTAATTTTTGTATTTTTAGCAGAGATGGGGTTTCACTATATTGGCCAGGCTGGTCTCAAATTCCTGGCCTCAAGTGATCCACCTGCCTCGGCCTCCCAAAGTGCTGGGATTACAGGTGGGAGCCACCACTCCTGGCCTTCGGTGAACTTTTTAGCCACTTGATTGTGTCATAAAAATTACAACCCCTGATTACTGCACAGGGTTTTTATAGTTTACTGAATGTTTCCACATACTGTCTTACACCCGAGTCTCAGAGGAACCCTGGGGAGTGGGCTGAGCTGGTGTCTTAACACCACTGTTGAAATGCAGAAACCAAGGCCTCGCTGGTTAATGAGCTGTAATGTTATGCAGAGAATAGTGGGCAGGCACTTCCTGGGCACACCCTGCATGGACTGTGCAGCCAAAGCCCAGGAGTGCCCTTCTGCTCAGGACACCTGTGCCTTTGGCGGCATGGCAATAGCTTGTCTGCTTGTTTTCCTCCCTCTCTTGAGTGTATACTCCTGAGGGAGTCCCAGCACCTAGCACAGCAACAGGCGTACCCGCCCTGTGTTTGCTGAACGAGTGAGTGGATGAGGACTCAGCCCCACTTCAGTCTCCAGACCCTAGATGCCCCACACGCTCCACTGTGCCAGCCTTTGATGCCCAGGCTCGTGGGTGGAGAAAGGCACAGCAGCGGAAATCAGCAGAACGGGAACTGCAGGCAGGGGTCCCAGGGAACAAAGCAGGCCGTCAGGTAGAGCAAATCAGGAAGGCTTCCTGCACAAGTGAGTTTTGAGGTAGGGTCTTTCCAACTTTTAGACTATGAATATGCATAAACATGCAGAAAAGTGCAATAAATATCCATCAACGCCCCCCAGATACAACAATTGCTAGTATTTTGTCATATTTGCCCTTGAAGGGGCCAAGGGCTTGGCCCTCTGGAGATTCACTGAAAAATCGACTCCAGAAAGGCTGATAAATTGGAGAAAAGGCATACAAATTTATAATGAATGTGTACACGGGGAGAATCACAGAGGAACTGCTCACCCCACACTGGGGATCAGAAGCTTCTATACCATCCTGGCAAAGCAGGTTATGGGAGGGGAGGAAGAGCAGTTCTGGCGAGAGGATTACTGGGGAGAATGAATGGGTCAGAGAACAGGAATGAGCCATTGTACTTGTGAGAGGGTCTGCTCAGGTGGGGTCATTCTCGGTCTTCAGGAAGGGAAGAGGCCGTGATCGTATAGCGGGTAGTTCTCTGCGTTGTGGTCACAGCAACCTCGGTTTGTATCCGAGTCACGGCACCAAAAAAAAAGGAAGGGAAGAAAAAAACCATTGTTCCCTTTGGTGGGTCTGGATCTTAGACAGATACGGGTTTTTGGAGGGACAGTGGTCCCGGGGAGGGCCAGAGAGACCATGAGGCTTCTTCAGTTCAGTGTGTCCAAATGCCGTATCTTGGTATATTGGTTTCTGAGCCCCAACACCCTATTTATTGGGTGTGTGTATATATATTTATGTAATGTTTTCTGAACTATTTGAATCTAAGATGCTGTAGACACCCATAAACACTTTAGCACCTCCTAAGACTGAGCTATTGGCCAATATTCCACACGGATCCTTTTCTTTGGAGATGGAGTTTTGCTCTTGTCGCCCAGGCTGTAGTGCAGTGGTGCAATCTCAGCTCACTGTAACCTCCGCCTCTCAGGTTCAAGTCATTCCCTTGCCTCAGTCTCCCAAGTAGCTGGGATTACAGGCACATGCCATCACTCTTGGCTAATTTTTGTATTATTAGTAGAGATGGGGTTTCACCATGTTGGCCAGGTTAGTCTCAAACTCCTGACCTCAGGTGATCCACCCACCTCAGCCTCCCAAAGTGCTGGGATTACAGACATCAGCCACCGCCCCCCGCCCCATGGATCATTTTGTAATATCCAGTTCATATTCAAATTTCCTTAATTATCCTAATTTTTTTTTTAGTTGGAGTCTCATTCTGTCACCCAGGCTGGAGTACAATGTGGTACGATCTCAGCTCACTGCAACCTCTGCCTCCTGGGTTCAAGCAATTCTCCCACCTGAGCCTCTCAAGTAACCCCACCACCATGCCTGGCTAATTTTTGTATTATTTGTAGAGACAGGGTTTCACTGTGTTGGCCAGGCTGGTCTCGAACTCCTGACCTCAAGTAATCTACCCTCCTCCTGTCAGTCATCTTTTATGCTCCATTTCACAGCCTGTCAGCCCAACCGTAATCTCTCAGTGCCTGATTTAGCTTTCTTCCCTGGGCCCCTCTGCCAGGCAGGGCTGCTCAAGCTGTTCTGGGACAGCTGCAGAGCGGCAGGTGCCAGGAATTAACATTCTCTGGGGGCAACCTGCAGCTAATAGGGGATGGGCAGACACATTCTCCCCACAGCCCTGAGGCTCATTCTGCAGGTTCCTCAGAAGGCCTCTCGTGATACTGAGCCTCAGCTGCCCACAGCGGTGTCAGCTCAACAGCACAGCCTTGGACTGGCTGAGTCTCCGTCTCCTTCCCAGTTTCGTTCTTCCCAGTCCCCTATGCCTGAGCCCGCGGGTCTTTCATAAACGTGTGTTCCTGCACACAAACCTCTGCTGCAGTTTCTGCTTTTGGGAGGAACTCAGCCTGAGACACAAGTTGACTTCCTCAGATACCGACACAAGCCTGTTGTGCCAAAGTCAGGTTTCCTAATAGCATTTTACACGGGGACGGCAGTTCACAGTTTATAAAGTTCTCATTCCAGCTACTATAGCTGTGTAACCACTTGCCCCAGGACTTAGCGGTGTCACTATGATGACATCACTCAGGATGGAGCCACTCATGATGCTCAGAGATTTTGTGTGCCAGGGACTGAGAGGGTGCAGTGAGCACAGCCTGTCTGCCCCTGATGTCTGTGTTGGGCGTCAGATGGAATGATGAGGGCTCACGCACTCACGTTTCTGGCGAGTGGTGCTGGCTGCCGGAAGCTCTGCTCCTCTCCCTGGGTGACTCTCACAGCATGGTGGCAGGACTGTCCCTCCTCAGCCTCTGAAGTCTGACAGCATCATTTCTACTCACCAAGGCAGGCAAGCGCAGAGTCCCACCTCAGGTCAGCGAGCCTGGGGCCATTCTGGGAAAATACAACCTACCAGGGTTACTTCCCACGCTATCTCCTTTGAGTGTCACCAAAGAGACTGCGTCTAATCTTTGAATCTGCAGTGCTTCGGTCAAGCAGGAGGTGTGCCTGCAGCAAATCACCTTTTCCTTGTGGACAGAGGCAGGTCTTAGAGTCAGACTGATCTGCGTTTGCATCCTGGTTTCGTCACTCAGTACCTGTATGATTACGGAGAATTAATTTAGCTTCTCTGAGCCTCAGTTTCCTGATCTTTACAATGAGGGCAAAAATACTCATTTCTTTCGCTGGTGCTAGAATGTGGTGCAGTCGTGTGTGTAATATGCCCACCATGCTCCTGACACCTGCGGGTGCTCAGCTTCTCCCTGTTTCTTCCTCTTTTTCTCCATCCCACTTCCCACCTCCTGCACTGATGGGCATCTTGGACTTCCCAGCAGGTGCAGGGACACAGGTGAGCAGAAAGCGTTTAGGGACGTGTCCAGGGTCTTGGCAACAGGCTGGAGTTTGGAAGAAGTCTGGATGAGCAGCCACAGTGCCCTCTCTCTTCCTCATCCCTGGATGCATCCCACCCAGCCCAGAACTGAGAACATTAACCCAGCTCCTCTGATGGAAGACTCCCTCATACAGCTTCAGAGTCTCGGGTTTCCCAGATGCCCTATAGCTTCTTGCAGAGTGCGAAGCCTGCTCCTCTCCCCCAGGGGCCTTGCTGGGACTGCAGTCTTGCTGCTGGTGGCCTAATAGCAGGTGTGCCTGGGCGTACCACGGTGGTGCAGCTTGTCTTATCCCTACTCCCTGATGGTTTGGGTCTCTACAGCTTTCCACCTCCCCTGGGTTGGGCCCTATCCCTGACTCCAGAAGTTAAGTGACGTTGGTTCCAGAAGGTGCCATATTCAGTCTCCCCTGGGTCTTTGTGCGGTTGTTCCTCTGCCTGGAATGTTCTTCCCACTTGCCTACACTGCATGTAAAACCCTATCTTGGCTTAGATAGCACTTCCTCGAGGAGGCTTTCTCAGAGCCCTCCCTGCCGAGGCGGCGTGCCTTGTGGTATCAGATCCCACTGAACTGTAATTGTATTTACTTTGTGTTTTCCTCCCCACCAGGCTGGGATGATGCACTTGCCCCATTCACAGCTGTATCATGTAGCACAAGCCCAGCACCTTTGATGTGTGATAAAATGAATGAATGGGCAAATGAACAAGTGGTGAATGAATGAATGAGTCAATGGACCGGTGTTCCCTCACCCAGGGAACGTGCCTTCTTTGCAGCCCTCTTCCACCCCTTACTCACGGGTGTGCATTTGATTCCTGAAGCATCAGAGCGGCTCCCCACCCTCCATCCAAGACTCCAGCAGAGCCTGCCTGGGCATCGCTTCCAGGATTACTCCTGGACCAACTTCGCCTGAGTATTTCCGCAGCCTCATCATCTGGGGAATATATAAAAATAGTAAATGGTTCCCCTGGCAACCACCACAGCAAATGGTAACCAGGGTGGGCAGTCCAGGAAAGCCTCAAGGTTGGGAGGAGAACAAACGCCATCCTCACTGCTCACTCTCTGAATCTTGGCCGGCCAGGGTTACCTCCGAGCGCCTCGCCTAGCCTCATGGCTTCCCAGAGACGACCTGCTCTGGAGCCCAAAGGGAAATAACAGGCTGGAGAAGCTGCCCCATCAGCCCAGACCATCTGTCCCTGTCAGTCCCTGGACTGCCACCCCCGCACTCTCTCTGTAGGGTCCCCAAGCCAGGCTCTAGGAGATCCTGAGAGTGGGAAAGTCCAGCAGCTGAGACACTAAGCGGGACTGGAGGCAGAGCCTGGAGGGACTGTGACCCTGAGGTGTCAGGGAGCGGAAGCCTAAGGTCTCCAGTGGGTGGTGGTGGGTGCAGCTATCTCAGAGTAGCCTCATCAGCCAGGCTGCTGCTGTCTTTTCCCTGTGCGTGAGTGAAGCTTTTGCTCCCCTGTCATCCCCCCACCTCCTGGAATATTGAGTTCACTGCATCCCGGTGGCTGTGGTTACCTCCACCCTGTCCTCGCCCTCGCAGCTGAAGCCTACTTCCTGCCTCGCTGCCCCAGCCTGCCTTTCGTCTAAGTCGGTCCTGATGGACATTACAAGAGCCAGGCCATGTGAGCTGTGCCTGGGACTCCTTTGTCTCATCTCCATGTTTCTGGATTTGGCCTCGGCATTGAGGACTCTCCTACTACTCAGGATCCCTGAAATAAATCTGTTGCCCTCCTGCCTGAGCCCTCTCACTTCTTCCCCTTTCACATTTATGCATGACCCGCCCCTTAATTGTCACTCATAACCTGTGTCTGATTCATACCACTCCACTCTCTCTGCCACTCCTTCAAAGATCAAGCAGTTTCCTTCTGTTAAATAAAATGTATGGGAGGCTATTATTTGGACTGAGCTCCTGCATTAGGCTCCAATAGACCCATCCAAAATGGAGTCACTCACACTAAGGTTTCACACCACGAAACCAAAAACGAAGCTATTTACTTGTAAGATCTGAGCCTCTGAGAAATCAGTATAGAGTTGATAGTCATACCCCATTAAGCTGGCAAGATCAAGATCCTCAATAAGAAAATTAACTTCGAAATGGCCAATCTGCATCTTATTCCTTGTTTCGGCTTTCTTCAGCCTTTTCTGCCTATACAGCTCAGCCCTTAGCTCAGCTCATGGGAGTTCCTTTTCATTTTGTAGACTGGATGCTGCCCAGTTTATGAATTGCTAATAAAGGCAGATTAGACCTTTAAAATTCAATTTATTGAAATTTTATTCTTTGATATGTCCCACAATTTATCTGTCACATCTGATTCCACATATCCATCCATCAACAAAGCAGATGCATATTTCATGCTTATTATATGTCCTGCACTGCCCTAGGTCCTGGGTTTGGGGTGAGATGGGAGGAAGAATTGATTAAAATAAATGCAGGAAACTGCTCTGCTCTTAAGGGTTCCCAAAGAGGAGAACAGTGGGCTGAGTTGCAAAGTGGTTTCTCTAGGACCAGGAGCTGTAGAGATCTACAGGGATCGCAGCCACAGGGTCCTGAGCAAGGCAGGCTGGGGTAGATTGCTGAAGAGTGTTGGGTTTTTCTTGGAAACTTCTGTCCTGGTCTGACCCGCCAGCAGCTGCCTGCATGGGACGACAGTGCCCCCTCGTGGCGATTCCTGGAATGCTCCAGCAGCTGTTTCGTAAAGCCCAGCGGATTAAGCTCGCTCAAGAACGTCTATTTTTGGTTCCCAGTATTTCCATAATGAAATGCTAACAGGAGCAGCCAAATGGCTTCCCAAAGGACCTGAAAGCTGCACTGCCAACCTCCTGTGTCCTCCAGCTCTCTGCTTCCCAGGGGTCAGATCTGCTCTTTCGTTCTCAGGGACAGTTCTCTGTCCCATATGGTTTGATTAAAGGGTCCCAGGGATAGCAACTCTATGTTGGCTTTGCCGAGTCTGACCTCAGAGGGACGGCTGTGTGCACGTTCAGAGTGACGTGTTGGAAAGAACACTGGATCCAGGATCAGGAGGCTCGTCCCACGCCAGCCGCTAAGGAGCTGTGAGATAATAATTTCAATAATAGCTACATTTATTTAGTGTTTACTCTGAGCCAGGCATGGCATCGAGAGCTTCACACACAGAGTTGACTTTGGTCGTCACAAGCCTATGAGACTGACACTGCGATCTCCATTTTACAGAAATCAAGGCAGAGAGAAGTCGAGTAACTTGGCCACGATCGTACGGTGTGTGTGGCAGAGTCAGGACTGGAGTTCATGTTTCTGGGCATCCACTGTGCTACACTGAACTGTGGACCTCACAGAATCGGAAACTAGTGGTGGTGTCCAGACACTGGGGTTTCAAGTGTTCCCCAGGCGATGGCGATACGGAGCCACCGCTGTCATCTCTGGGTTCCACCAGCTCTAACACTCAATGAGCCCCATGCCTTCCGAGAAGTGGAGGTGAAGTTGGGATGAGGGGAGAATCCTGGGTTCAGGCCCTAATGCCCATGGGTGTACAGGGCTGTACAGGGCCACAAGCACAGCAGAAACACCACGATGGCAGAGCACTCGTCCTGCCTGCTGCCCTCTTTACCTGGAGATGGTTTGTAGGACGGGAGAGCAATGGCCTTCCACAACATTCCTCAGAGTTTGTTATGCCACATGTGCTCCAATCTACAGATCCATCACCTGTCCATTTATCTCAGTGTCTCTAGAGCCATTTTCTATTTTTTAAATAGATTCACTTGACAAACACTTGAGACTTATGATGGGCCAGGCCCTGAGTCTGCAGGGGTGGAAGAAGCTGGCATAGCCCCGCTCTTGTGAGTTGACAATCTAGAGGAGGATATTGGCAGTCAGCAAATTATGAAGAGAAAAATAACACTGCACCCTGTGACATGTGCTCTGAAGGGCACACGTATGCACAGTGATGGAAAACACAGGACGGCAGAGGGACCTAATAAGACAGAATAAGCCGAGCTTTAACAGAGACCAGAAGAATGTTTTTAGCCCGTGCCTCCCTTTGGTAAATGAGCTCTGTTGTGTTCACTACACGCTGGGCAATGTAGTGCAGAGCTTGCTTTGCGCTGGTCCTCTGCTGGAGTCCCCTCCAGGTCATGGGGTGGCTGCTGTTGACATTTTCTCCCTGAAGGCCCAGGTATCTCTCCAGAGATGGAGAACTTTGAGCTTCCTTTTCATAGAAAAGACTCAAACTGGTGGCTCTTTGGGGATGGGGCGATGATGGGTGATGTTTGAGGCTGGAGGTTCAGAATCAGAAAAGTCTGCAGTCAGTGCCTTGAGGTTTGCTGACTTTGCTGTGACACCCAAGGCATAGGACCCGCAATCAAGTCTGTGGGGAGGGTGCTTGTGGTCCAGGTGCAGGTATATACCTGTGAGCATGTGCATGTGTCCACACACATGTGTGCATGAGAGCAGGTTCAGGCTTCAGCTCCCGGCACACTTGTCTTTCTTCTATTCTCTCTTCTGTGATGGTAGGGCTGGGATTTGGCAAGCCACTTTTGGCTTTGGCAGGGGCTTCCTGTTGGCTTCAGCCAGTAGGGGGTGCTAGAAGAATACTGGAAAGCTGGAGGGAAGCCCTCTTTTTCTTGTTTACTTCCTGTTTTTGTAAGCGGCTCCGGTGGTACCTGACGCCGGCAGCAGCAGTTCCTTCCCCTAGCAGCAGCTAAATCCAGTTTACAGTCTTTCTAACACTTGTAGAACTAATTTCATCACCCCCAGCTCTGAGGTCAACACCAGCCGGCAGGCACCCCCACCTCAGATGTCTGGTTCCAGCCCCACAAGGTGCTCCTGTCTCTAAGCTGTAATCATTCCAAATGCACCCCTTTGCTGCCTGGCCCTAGGGGTGGTAGTGCTTCCTCCATAACACCTTCTTAGCATTCTCTGACAGTAGTGTGAAGGCGTCCCAACCCCTAACATGAATTTCCTGGACTGTGGGAGCCTTTTGTGCCCTGGTGAGCCCTGGGGAGACCAAAAGCAGTTCGTCTAACCCCTATGTGGTTCGTAACTGCTCTACTCCGAGAAAGCAGGCTGGCTTACCCTTGGAGAGGCCAGTAATTCTGTTCTCAGCTCTTTCCTGTGCGGGCCTCGACATCTCAGGGAGAATGGACAGGTGCATCTCAGTTCCAGTCATCTCAGCACACGCCTCCCGCTCTGCCTCCCTGCTGATCTGCACCTTGGCTGTGGCCTTGCCTGACCTCAGAATGCTCCCAGGAGGAGAGGCCATTGCCTTCTCCATGGCCCCCCAAGTGTGAGCAGAACTGATGGAGAAACTGGGCCAAGCGAGGAGAGAAACTTGAGTGGGAGACCTTGGGGCTGTTGGGAGAGGATACAGAGAAGGTGGCTGCCTTGGATGCTGTGAGTTTCTGTTTCCTTCCTCATTAGTGTCTTTCTTACTGAGAAAATCCCTTTTCCTTGAAGTAACTTGACTGAATATTTGACTGGTTCCCTTTTGCCAAGTGAACCCAAGAAAGAAAAGGAAAGAAAGGACAAGGAACCCAGCATCCACTGAGGACCTGCTGTGTGGCAGGACAGTGCTGGGAGCCCCGCACACATGCAGTCCTTGAGGACTGATTGAGCAGCTCCGGGTGATGGGGGCACAGGTGAGGAGGGGGAGGGGAAGGGTCTTAGAAGAAAGAGTAATGAACACTATATGTCAACACTTTCACAAAGCAGGTGGCCCACCAGGCAGAACCACAGCAGTTCTCTGCCATTACAGATTTCCCTTTCGCCTAACTCTTCTGTGTTTGTATTGGGGTGGCGTGGGGGGAACACAGCTTCTTTTTGTTTAGATCATTTTTAAAGCTTTACTGAGATATAATAGATCTAGAAAAAAATCGCATACATATAAAGAGTACATCTTGATGAGTTTGGATATGCGCATACACCTGTGATACCAGCACCAAAATTCAGGCATTAAGCATATCCATCACGGCCAAAAATTTCCTCCAAAATCTGCATCACCTCCAAAAAGTTTCTTTTGTGTTTTGGTGGTTTTTGTTTTCCGTAGTAGGATCACTAAGTATGAGATCGGTCCTCTTAACGTATTTTAAAGGGTGCAACTTCTGTGTCGTTAACTATAGGTACCATGTTGTTCAGCAGAGCTCTAGAACTTACTCATCTCACATAACCAAATTTTATACCCATTGAGCAAGATTTCTCCAGGTCCCTTTCGCCCAGCTCCTGGAAACTGCCATTCTATTCTCTGCTTCTATGAGTCTGACTATTTTGATACCCCAGGTAAGTGGAATCATGTGGTATTTGTTGTTCTGTGTCTGGCTTTTTCACTTAGTATAATATCCTCTAGGTTCCTCATGTTGTTTCCATTGGCAGGAGTTCCTTCTTTTTTAAGGCCGAATAATATTCCGTTGTGTGTATTTGTCACATTTTCTTTACCTATTCATCTGTTGATGGACGGATATTTGGGTTATTTCCGTATCTTGGCTATTGTGAATAAGAAAAAATACACTTTCTCAACCCAAAGCAAACAGAGAAACATTGTGCAAAATACAAGTGTCGACAGAAAGGCAGGCTGGGAGGATGAGCAATGGCTGGCACGCAGCGCAGATCAGGCTTCTGAGAGAACCGTGGCACCCTGGCACACCTCTTCTGCCAGGACCAGCCTCACTGGGGGAGTTTGTCAGTGCTTTGCAGACCCCCATAGGTCCCACCTGGTTCTGGTTTGTAGAGGGAAGCAGTGGGACCCAGCCCCACCAGTGGGAGTTCAGAGCTTGCTGTCAATTCTGCCTGTTCTGCCAGGGGTGTGTCTGAAAGGACTGATATAAAATGCCCCTGTGTCTGGTTCTCTCTGCACCATTTAAAAACTCTCTGATAGTGATCAGCACAGCTATTAAAGCTATCAGGTGGAAATAAGTGAATCAGAGCTGACTGGTGGCTGACTCTGACCCCTACTCCCCAGCCACACGTCTGGGGTAGAAACTGGTCACATAAATGGAACTACAGTCTTGCTCAGGCTTTCCATTTGCCCCAGCCTCTGAGTAGGGACTCTGGGTCTCCCTTTTGGGATGTTCCCAGCAAGCATTCTACCTGAGCTCACTCCTCATCTACCCAACTCCTGTGATCGGGGGTGGCATCTGCAGCAGCTGCCCTCAGTGCCTCCAGAGCTCGAGAAGGTGCCACATCACAGATGGAGGGAGGTATGCTGCCCATGAAGATTTCCTCCCGGACAGCAGTGGTACATGGTGCCCTCCTTGGAGGGGAGACACCTGTATCTGCCTTGGGCCACATGTCAGTTCTGACGCTGAGTGGCCATGTTCTCCCGGGTCTCACCAAGATTCTTGGGTGAGCAGCCCTCCCTGTCATTTCCTTAGGCTCAAGCCTTCAAGGACTAGGCTAGAGGCTGACCTGAGTGACCAGCACCAAGTGGTCCTCCAAGCTGTCCTTCCTCCTGGACGTCCCCGGAGAGGCTCTCAACGCTCTCGGACCAAGACCTCTTGCCTTTCTCTTGGGATGAACTATTTCTCATCCTTAGTCTCTCACACCAGTGGACTCCTGGGATCCCAGCCCATAAGATGTGCCTGAATCTCCCCTTTGCAAACACCCCACTGTGCACAAGTGTTGTTATCCTCATGTTGTGGGTGGGGAAACTGAGGCCCTGAATGTCGGATGACTTGCTTGAGGTCACTAAGAGTCTCCAGATCCCTAACACTGAGTCAGCCCTATGCTCACCACACAACATTGTGTTACACACCACCTCACTGTTGTGGCCAAAAGTTATGCTTTGAGATCATCATCTTGCTCTGTCCAGGGACCCGCAGGCTGTTCTGAGGTTGGACTATGGTGGTTCCCATGCAGGCCCAGCATCAGAATTGCCTGTGAACATTGAGAAGCTCAGGTGCCAGAGCCCAAGCCCAGGGAGTTCTGGCTCACTAAATCCAGGTGGGCCCAGGTGCACAGGTATCTGTAGAGTCAATTCTCATTCTCACGGTAGTCATGTTTTATAAAGTTTCTGTGAACACTGAATTAGCAGATACTGAACCTTTGCTCCCAGGGGAAACAGGGTTAGATTCCTGTGTCTCTGGTTACAACCAATACATAGCCTTGTTTCATGCGTGTTTCTATTAAAGACACGTTTTTTACTCTCTATTGTTGATTCATTGACACTGAACTCACGGCCAACAGCACCGTAACTTGTGTCTGAAAGAAGCTTGGCGGACACACGTGTTTTCTCTGTAAGGGACATCACAGCCTTCTCATACTTAGGAACACCAGAAAGCACTTCAGCACTCTGCTTGGGGACATTTAAAAAAATCTTTTTTCTTTTCTTATTTGTTTCCTTGAGACAGAGTCTCACTCTTGTTGCCCAGGCTGGAGTGCAGTGGCATGATCTCAGCTCACTGCAACCTCCGCCTCCCAAGGTTCAAGCCATTCTCCTGCCTCAGCCCCCAAAGTAGCTGGGATTACAGGCATGCACCACCACGCCCGGCTAATTTTGTATTTTTAGTAGAGACGGGGTTTCTCCGTGTTGGTCAGAGTGGTCTCGAACTCCTGACCTCAGGTGATCCGTCCTCCTTGGCCTCCCAAATTACTGGGATTACAGGTGTGAGCCATCGTGCCTGGTCTCTTTTATTTTCACAGATCATTGGGGAACAGGCAGTGTTTGCTTACATAAGTTCCTTAGTGGTGATTTGCGAGATTTCGGTGCACTCACCCAAGCAGTATACACTGTACCCAATTTGCAGTCTTTTATGCCTCACCCCCTCTCACCCTTTCCCCGGAGTCCCCAAAGTCCGTGGTGTCATCCTTATGCCTTTGCGTCCTCATAGCTCAGCTCCCACTTACGAGTGAGAACATCCAATGTTTGGTTTTCCATTCCTGACTCACTTGACTTAGAATAATAGTGTCCAGTCTCATCCAGGTTGCTTCGAATGTGGTTAGGGGACATTTTCAACAGGGAAATTGCCAACACAAAGCACAAATACAGGAAAAATGTGGCACCAAATAGCCTGCAGAAAGGACACTTGTTTGCAGTGTGAGAACTAAAGCCAGTGGGCTGAGTGGGTCTTGTTCCATCCCCACTGGGAACGTGTGTGGTGAGCAGCCCTCATTCTTCCCCACTCTGTGCGTGCCTAAGAATGACCCCAAAAGCGCAGCCAGTATTGATTTTGGGGTTACAGATACAATTTTGCAAGCAGGTGAATTTGTATATATGGAATCCATGAATAGTGAGCATGGGCTGCGTTTTGCAAGCTCTGTTTGCCCAGCGGTGTGCTGGGTCTCACAGCAACCGGCAGTAGGAGTTGGCCGGGTATGAGGATGGTCAGGGGAGCCGTGGAGCGGAGGCCCGAGCTGCTGCGGAGGGTGGAGAGAGCAGGTCAGCTTCAGGGCAGCTCTGTGGTTTCCAGGTTGCAAAGCTGGACCCACGCGGGACCTGAAGCTGAGGCCAAACCGCAAGGCCTCGCTAGCTCTTGCTACTGGAGCTGGACAGTGTATCGCTGGGATACCCTCCCCCACCCAGAGCTGACAGGTGGCTGAACACCCTGCCCCTGCCTCAGACACTCTTGTTTGCCCTGTCCCAGCAGGTCCAGCTGCAGTGAGGATGGGGAGTGGCTCAGAAGGAGCATCAGGCACAGCCTGTGAGGTGGGACCGGGAAGATACTAACTACTCATCAGCACCTAACCTTGCTTAGTGTGTTCCCATGTACAGACACCTCATTTACTCTCTATTGTTGGCTCATGATTGCTGGACTCTAACTCATGCCTGAACGCAGCTTACCTAACCCACGATGCTCTCTGTAAGGCACAGTGCAGTCTCTTGCCCTTAGGAACACCCCAAGTTTGACTGGACCCCTCATTCTCTACCTGAGCCAGTCTGCTCTGAAAGTAGATAAACAGAGGTCATAGAGAACATTCTTTTTTTTCTCCAGGACGCTCAAAGGAGGACGTGGGTCCCGGCCAGGCAGTGCTGAGGACTGGCTCCTAGGCAGACTAGGGCCTTCCCAGCCCTGAGATGGAAGGAGGTGTGAGGTTAAGACGGCCCCAGAGCTGAGCTTGGGAAGGGGGATTGAGCCGCCTTATGCATACAAGTTCTGACAGTCAGTGCCTCTGGGGACATGTGAGGCCTGTCCTCCGTGGGAAGCTCGGATTCCTGTCTACCCTTCCAGTTTTCTGGGCCCCCAGCTACCTGTGTGGGAGGAAAGGGGTGGCTTCTCTGGGAAGCCCTTGTCACTGGGTTATGGGTATCCTCCGGGGAGGGCGAGGTACTTACTGAGAAGCTGCAGGGAACTGACACCAAAAGGGAAGCTCCCTGAACTCATTTCTCCAGAATTCTCCCTTCTGTCTCTTTTAAAGGGTTTCATCTTTACAAGCTCCAAACAGCTTATTCAGTAAAGTCATTCAGAAAAAATAAATCCTCATTGGCAATGGTTTCATTTCGTCCTTCCCTCCCTCAAGGACAAGGATTATCTGGCTAAGGAAGCCATTGCCTCCCTCTCTGCTTTATCTCATTCAAACATCATTTTATTCGCTTTTGCTACATGCCAGGGGCTGATCGCAAGGGGGTTCCTCCCCCAGATAAATGTCTTGGCTTGTGGGTCCCTTCTGGCTAGCTTCCCTGTCTCCCACTGCTGCCCCTCACACATCCCAACTGGGATCATTTTGGATACCTCCTGGAAAGTGCCCCGCCCCACCCCGGCACAGGGCACACTCTGGTCCTGGCCACTTGTAGCACCTGCCTTCCTGGTAGCCCGGGCGGCCTCAGGCATCTTCTTTCCTCACTGCATGCGTCTTCCTTGAAGACTCAGCCCCTGCCTTTGCGTCAGCAGCCCCTCGCTGAGGCCTGTTGCCCTGCAGGCTCTGGGGTCTGGGCTTGCTTCCATGGATTTCTTGTTTGAACTGGTGTGTGTGTGCGCGCCAGTGTGTGCGCGCATGTGTGTGTGTGTGTGCGCGCGCATGCCGGTGTGTGTGCATACTCTCCATCAGTCCTCATTGCAGCTTCCTAGGGGCAAGGATCGTTTCTTTTCCTACCTCTGGACATTTGATCTATGGTCCTGACTGACTGTCCTGAAGTCATGGGTGAAGGGACATCTTGGACCCCAGGCAGGATTTCTGGAGGAGAAGAATTAGAGAGCTGCCACCTCTCCACTGACTTTCTTTCTCCCACTGCGGTCTGGCTTGCCCAGGGGGCCACCCCAAATGCGCTTTCAAGGACTCTGATCAGCAGAGAGGAGCTGTTGAACCTAAAAAAAACACAGCTCCCCCAAGGCAGGAGCTCTCAGCCAGGAGGACTCTGGGATGGTTTTCAAACTATGCGATGATGACGTGGCCTAGGGGTTCCTTACAGGTGACTCCTGCTGGGGGTGGGGGAGGCAGGGCCCAGCCCCTAACCTCCATCAGTCAAGCAGCTCCTCCAATTTGATTAGGCTGCTGTGCTTAGTTGCATTTGAAAAATGTTCTTCTGTGGCTTCAAAGCTTAGAACACCTTCACCCTATTCTAAACCTACAGCCTTCTTCTGTTCCTGCCATACTCACAGCTGTCCACCAGGGGCTGGAGGGTTGGAGGGAGGAGCCCACGATCACCTTCCGGAAGCTGGGACCCCAGCGGCCATGTCTCTGCAGGAATCCAGCCTTGAGCCTCCGCTTGTCGCTAGTTGGAGAAGGCAGTGTCCAGGGCTAGCTCAAGGCTGCAAGTGTTCACGTGAGCCACACTGAAAGGGTGTGGAGAGATGGGCCGCTGGTGCTTCTCTGGCCTCAGACCCGGGGAATTGGGGATCCCAGATACATGACGTACACCAGGAAGTGCCACTTTCTGAAGGAAAGAGCCTTTACCTAGGAGTCCAAAGGCACGGGCTCCCATCTGGCTTCCACTCACCAGCCATGGGACCCATGGAGGTGACACCCCTGCTCCTCCTTCCTCACTGGGTTATACCGTGAAGCTGCCAGTGTGCTCTGAAAGCCTATGAGTGCTGTTGACATGCAGGGTGCTGCTGTGGCTCTGCTCACAGTCGCCAGGTCAGGGCTCTCCTGGGGTATTTGGGGCAGCCCCTGGCCTGGTGCTTCTGGGCTGAGCTTGAGAAGAATGGGACAGTCACCAACTTAGGCATGGGCAGTTTGCTTGGGAGGCCCCGGCCTGTCTTGGTCCATTTTGTGTTGCTATGACAGAGCACCCGTGGCTGGGCAATTCAGTTTTTTAGAAAAGAGGCTTATTTGGCTCATAATCCCGGCGGCTGGAAGGCTCAAGTTTGGGCAGCTGCACTGGTGAAAGCCTCAGGCTGCTTCAACTCATGGGGAAAGTGAACGGGGAGTGAGGGTGTGCACAGAGATCACATGGAGAGAGAGGAAGCAAGAGAGAGAAACTGAGGAAGCAAGACCCTTTTCAGCAACCCTGCTTTGGGGAACCAATCTATTCTCTTGAGCGCCAGAACACACTCATGAACCTATTCATGAAGGATCTGCCCCACGACCCAAACGCCTCCCACTAACACCACCACACTGGGGATCCAATTTCAGCATGGCTTTAGGCTAGGACAACCCACATCCAAACGGTAGCGTGGCCAGACCCACCAACCTGGGCAGTGTGTGGGCGTCTAGGGTTTTGTTAGGAATGGAATAGGTGGCCCTGGGCACCCTGAGATGGCTCCAGGGGCTTTAGGGGAAGGTGGGCTTTGGGCATAACACTGGGCCTGTTAGGGCAGCTCCAAGACACGAGTCTGTTTATTTCCACTCTTCTAGTCCTGGAAGAACTAATTTGCCCACCCTAATCCAGGGCAGGCGCGAGACCCAGGTGTCTTCCCAGGGGAAGTGGAATGAGGGTGGCCTGCCTGTCCCAGGACGTCAGCTGGGCAGCAGGCCTGGAAGAGGGGAAACTTTGACTCAGGAGGAGCTTACATTAGTGGTGGTCTGGGAAATGCCCCACAAAAATGGAAAAGAAGCAGATGGCAGATCAGGACTGGATGTGGCAGTTAGGGTGACCTGCAAAGGAATGAAAAAGAATGGGTTTGCAGGTCCCAGGAGGGAGTTCCTTCCTAGGCTGCTTTCTCCCCCATCCTCCCTACAGGCCTGTCAGCCTCGTCAAGACGCAGGGGTTTGGAGATCAGCGAGCTGCAGCCTGCACATGCGCCCTGGACTGCTGCCTCTGTCGGGAGCCTTAGAAATATCTTTGCATTATACAAGTCACAGGTGGTCACAGGGGAAAAAAAGTGCAA